CATACAGAAACAAATTGAATACCAAAATACTTTATGGAAGTAATAAATAAACTATAAATAGAAGGAACATAACAGACACTGCTGAGTACTGAAATACTGACATGGAAGAAAGCCTGTTAGCTAAGCATATGCACAGGAAAAAGACAAAAGAAATTAATTAGATGATAACAGATATGCACATTGCTCTGGTATACACTATACTGCTGCAATATGGGAGGGACAATGACTTAAATAAGTTTATTCTCACTCACAAAACAGTTCACCATGGAGAACCCAAGTCTGGCTATGACCACCCAAGATGCTGTTCCTCCTGTCTCCTCATTTCACTGGTTACAGGACAGTCTCTTTCGTATGGCGGAAGCTTCCCCCCATCCACATATCAGCTTATGACAAGGGTGAAGAAGACTCTAGAGAAAGCCTTCTGAGGAGGTGGCTTCACGGGACCCTCTCACATCACAAATTGTCATATATTTGTCATTTAGTCACAGGGATACTGAAAATGTTATCTGTAACTGGATAGCCATGTGCTCGGCCAAAATTTGAATGCCATGTTTGAAAATAAAACAGGCCCTAGAGAATAAATGGGTACTATAATATGAAAGGCAAAGATGAGAAATACGGAAAGATATTTGGTGTCCCTCAAACAGAACCAGCAAATGAAAGAGATTTTCACTGATGTAAGAAAAAGTTCTCAAGGAACAGAATACTGGTGGAAAGGAAACTGAAGTTCAGAAAAAAGTGTAGGATATTTATCATAAATTATTTCAGTTAAACACCCCAACTTGATAGATGAAGAAAGTTTCAACATCCAGGATGTGAGGAATCACCTATAAAGAGTGAAAGCTCATGCTGGCGTTAGATTTCACAGTATTTACAATCAGGGACAGTGGTGTGCTATCCACACAATTTTGAAACCAAAAATAATGAGCCCAGATGTGATTCATGTGTGAAGGAGTAAGATACCCATGAATCCTGGTTGAACAGATCCATTTGATGGCTCAGGGAAGCCTATCAACCAAAACAAGGAACGCTAGTGCAGAAGAGCCGTGAAAATGACGGTTGGTGGACACCGGATCCCTTCCGTGCATGGCAAACATTGGTGTCCATAGCATCAGCATAGAATGTGGCTGTTGTAAGTCTAGACAAATTCTCTGAAACTGAGAGAAAGGAGGCAGGCACGGCAAGAACTCTGATGCCCCTTCCTCTGAAGGTAGGCTGTACTGTCCATAGCATTTTCCATTATTAGCTGATTCAGCTGTGCAACATGAGTCTACAGACTACCACCTGTTCCTGTGAATAAAGCTTCATCAGAATATAGTATCTGGGTCCATTCAGTCACTAGCAAAAGGCCATACAGTTGATGGCTCCTAACAACAGAAACAGATTTCTTACAGTTGCAGTGACAGGGAAGTTCAAAGTCAGGGTTCTTAGATTTGGTGTCTGATGAAGGCACTGCTTTCTGACTGGGGGGGGGTACTTTCTCATTGTGTCTCACATGGTGGAAAGGAAAGGTATTCTATGGGACCTTTTCCATAAAGGTCCTAACTCTGTACTTAAGGCTCCATCCTCAAGACCTAATCATCTCCCAGAGATTCCACCTCCCTTTAGCATCCCTGGAACATCCATTTTAATATTCAGTTTTGGGGGTCACAGACATTCAGACCTCAGCAGTCAGTTTCACCCCATTGTTTACATGCTGTCAGTGCTACTTTTCAGTTATGGCAGTCAACCTGCTCCTTAAAGAAAAAACAATTGCCTCCGGGAAGTGATGGAGCATACCTTCAATCCCAGCACCTGGGAGGCAGAGGCAGGTGGATCTCTATGAATTTGAGGCCAGCCTGGTCTACAGATGTTCCAGGACAGCCAAGGCTGTTACAGAGGAACCCTGTCTTGGGTGGGTGGGTGATTCTCTCAGTGAGCCACTTACTCCTGTCACTCTCCACCCCTCCCCCAACAGACCCACCCTTATCCAGTCACACAGACCTGTCCTGGTTGGCAACACCTCCATGCTTTAGTGTGCTGCTGAGGTTTGCACCACCACTTATAACTGCATCTTTTTTTTTTTTTGGTTTTTCGAGACAGGGTTTCTCTGTGGCTTTGGAGGCTGTCCTGGAACTCACTTTGTAGACCAGGCTGGCCTCGAACTCACAGAGATCCGCCTGCCTCTGCCTCCCGAGTGCTGGGATTAAAGGCGTGCGCCACCAACGCCCGGCGATAACTGCATCTTCTAACACATCTCCTGTAACTCCATGTTCTTTTAAGATGACATTTAAATATCATCCACTGCACTACATCGTAACCTTGGCTGCACATCACAGTTGCCCAGGGAGCCTTACAGAAATACCAAGGCTCAGGCCTGAACTAAACGGTTCTGATTTAATTGCCCAGGATTGGGGGCCCAGGCAGCAGTGTTTTCAAGAGACTCCCTGAGTGGTTCCAATATACAGTCAGGATTGAGTTGCTGCAACATCCCCATAACACCAGTAGGCAGATTTAACTGCTCCCGAGTCTACACTCCCTTAGTTCTTAGTTTTCCCATTGCTCATGAAACTTAATGATCGCTGTATTAAAGTTAGTGTTACTTAGTAAGTGCTCAGTAAACGCTGAAGTTTGCTCCATTCTCTCCCTAACCAGGTTCATACAGAAGGGACAGCAGAGGGCAGATGTTTCTTATTTAGCCACAGAGGGATTTCTTTTCTGTAATCTGTAGCCCACTCCTGCATCCGATCCACTCATGCGCCCATTGCCTCCTCAGTACGCACAGTGTGTTGTTTGGTGTGGTGTGGGGAACTGAAGAAAACGGCCTTACAAATCTGCTGGTTGCAGGACAGAATCTGTTCCCTGCCCCTCAGCCTCTCCTTTGTGTCATTCTCAATGATGTATTTTATACTGGATCTTTCTGCTTTGGCTTTCAAAAGGCAGTTGTCAGGTGTTCTTTATCAAAGGCTTTCAGAAAATCCAGATAAATTATGCTCTGTGCCCCCAGACTGCCAAACCTGTATTTCACTTCTTCACCGAGCTTGACAGTTTTGTTGAAGTGGAATCTCTCTCCTTCAATTTACCTTCATTTCACTGACCTTGATACCAGCCAGACAAGTAAGAGAGCTTTCTCCTTTTGATACTGGGTCTCCTGAGTCACATGTATGCCTGCTCTACTTACAATACATTGTAACATATATGCCATCTAGTTACAATACATTGTAATATATGCCAGTCTAGTTACAGTACATTGGGTGATTATCTCTGTCTCTCAGATTAAGGGGAGATTCCAGAAGCAACTCTGGTCTAGAGGAGGAGAGAGGAGAGCTAAGGACAAGGGAGAGCAACACTGTTAACTCGGCAAGGCTGGAGTTCTGTGTGACTCTCCTGCAGGATCCCCCACTGGATCTGAAGCAAGGCTAGTCATTCTTCCTATTCCAACTCACAGGGAAGGCAGCAGACCACACTTCCTGTCTGCTTTTCCCTCCTAAAATGCTAGTAAGGGCTGGAGAGATGGTGCAATAGATAAAGTACAAGCTTTCCCAAGAGTGAGCCGTGGAGTTGGGAGCCCTAGAACCTGTGTAAAAGCTCAACAGTTGCAAAGGCAGCCTATAATCCCAGGAAGGCAGAAATGGGATCCTCTGGGCAAGCTGGCTAGCAGGCCAGATCAGCAAGCTCTGGGTTCAGCAAGACACTCTGCCTCGATGAATAAAGAAGAAAGGAATCCAGGGAGACACCCGATATTAGCCCCAGACCTGCACATGTATTCACATACTTTTTTTCTTAAATATTATTTGTAGCAATGAGATGCAGTTCTATGGTACAGTGGTTGTCTAACATGTACAAGACTCACTGCACCAAAAAAACATTTTTCCTCCTATTTGTTGAGCATCTTGAAGAGTTCAGTGCATTGGAAGATGCTGCTTTGTCATTGCCCCTCAGTACCACATCCTGGCTGAGGACCTGAACACTTTGCTCAGCTAATATTTAATCCATAAGGAGATTTTCTACCTCTGCACTTAGAAGGGATGTTCCATTTTCTGTCCTTAAGCCTAATGGGCAAGAAAGTATAATACAGCTGAGAACAATGACATCATCCACTATTGGAAAACCAGATTCATTTTAAATGGACAAACTGCATATTTGGTGTATGTGTGTCCTGAAGCAAATCTACTAACTTGCATCCTTTGAGCTCCTCGTAAGTTCAATTGTAAACCGTTACCTGGTTCCCCTGGAAGTTATGCAAATTAATTAATGCTTGGAAAATGGCTTGAAATTTTAAATGTTTATAAACAACAGACAGAGGAATTCTTCCTACTGAGGGGCCCAGTAATCAACAACCTCCTATGATCAAGGTAAAAACAGTGTACTTGAGCTATACAAGTAAGTGTGACTTATATGCAATTCAAATGAGTTTTAAAATCTAAAACCCATTAAATAGAATCAATTCTTATTTCATAACGATAATAAGAGCATTTCTGACTCCAAGAACAGTGGTTATCTGTGTGACTTATGGAGACATTGCACCTTTATCATCTCCTTAGTTTTCAGCAGTCTTTATTCAGGGTTCACACTTAACCTGTTACTATTGACTTAAGTGCCTTTTTTAATTCCTTCCAGTTTGTTTTTATAACCTCAAGACTCTTATTTATTTCCTGGGAAATCTGCCTGTGCACAACTTTGCTGTATTCAAAACCTCCTATGGCAAGATTTAGTACTTTTATATTGTAGTCATTAAAATTGAACAAAATCTTAATAGTTCCTTTATTAACTACTACACTGAATTTGCATAGTGGAAATCACCACATGTTAATTGGATTTAATTAACTATTTTAAATTACACAAAATCTTGACAGAAGACAGTAGCACAGGGTACTCAGGAGCAATAAAATCGGAGATGATATTGCTACTTTATTAAAACTTAATGAAACTATTCATAATCTAATTTATTGTTCACAAAAAGAAAACTATGTTCATTGTGAAGGCAAAAATGTCAGCTAACAACACTTTTTCTCACCTAGGAGAAGGTTCAGCGGTTAATAAAAGGGTCCACAATATCCAACCTCACGGTTCTGCCATCTTCTCATCGCACTGATCCCCATTTTATTCCCATTCCCATCTTGCAAAGGGATGCCAGCAAAGGTTAGTGATTGTGCAGCCACGTTATGTGTGGGGAGGCAAGAGCCTTGAGGGTAATCAGGGAATCCTAGCTCAGCCACTAATTTTCCTAGGTGACTCACCTCAGCAGACAAGTCAGTCCTCACCTGGGTTCAGTTTCACCCCGGACTAGGTGATCACCAGAGTCCCTTCCACTTCTAAATCCATTTCCACTTCTAAATCCATTATTCCATGCATTTACTATGACTTATGATTGGTGCTATGTATTAAAATTGTTATTATGTTTATGTGATATTATTAGAAGTTATTGTTTTCTAAGTAGTTTCTGATGCTCTTCTGGTTGCCTTTTAATGTTATTTCAAAATACTGCTGTGGAAAAACACAAAGCCAGTGGTTTTTTTTTTAGTTTTACTACATGTTCTTTTATATGTATGAATGTTTTACCTGAATATGTGTATGCCTGTGTATCATATGCATGCCTCATGCCCTTGGAGGTCAGAAGAGGGCATCAGCTCTCTGGGAACTGGAATTACAGGTGGTTGTGAGCTACCACGTGGTTCTGGGAATTGAACATGAACCCTCTGAAAGAGCAGCCACTGCTTTTAGCCACTGCGCCATCTCTCCAGCCCCTTTAATTGCGTGGTTATAGTTTAAAGCCTAGTGTTGCAAATTACTGCATTTCTAATAAAAAAAGATGGTATCACCTTTACCTTAGTATCCACAGTGCCCAAGAGTGTATTAGAGTTTTGTAGGTAAAAATAATGTGAATTGAATGAATAAATAAACAAATTAAAGGACTAAGTAAATGAATGAGGATTAGATATCTACTATAATCCTTAGTTTCCGCTAGTTCATTTGATTGGCTGAAGTGTTAAAGATTGGCTAGGTGGATCCCCTTTCCTATCTCAAATATAATGGAGGAAGATGGCCTTGAGTTGCTTGTAATCTCACTTCCTGTCTGTTTGCAGTATTCAGGACCCAGAGTTGGTTCCAAACCATCCTTGTGACACCTGGAGACTCACAATCCTCTGGTGTCTTGCTCTGTGTCTTGCCTGCTGACCTCTGTCTGCTGGTGGTGAATACTCTAGAAAGTAATAAGTCTCTGAATTTGTTAAGCTTCCAATAGCTGTAGTTATTTCTTTTCTAGCTGTGAGAAGTCCTGTGGCATACTCCTTCTAGTAGCTTACGTACCTTTGACGTCCCAGGAACACTAAGTAACAATAGTAAGTTTGAATTTCTTGTCATCTTCCTAGTTGATGAAATTAGGAAGAGTGAATGAATTGATCCTTGCTTTACCAGATAAAAATAACTATAAGACAAAGGTAAATCTAGGATCAAGACAACTTGTGCAGGAAGACAGAAGTTATATTTTTATTTCTAAATCTACCAGAGAACACACGGCCTATCATATTTGTAATTAGTCAACCAATTAGTACACATGGAGTATCTGCCACATGTCTGGTTACTGTACAAGGTAATATTAGTGTCAGGAACGCACAAGTCTCAGGAATACGTGTGGAATTTTTAGGTGTTTTGGTGCCGTTAAGTGACATCTATGAGCCACTCCAGGTCTGCACAAGTTCAGCATGAGATAAAAGATGAACAATATCCACATGAAAAGGATTACCCAGTTTTTCTTGAATTATCTGGCAAAAATCTAAGAAATAAAGCTCCCCACAGAGTCAGTGGTTGAGAATACAAGTTTTGTACTACACAAACCAGAATCTAGCTTTCACAGCTGAGAAGCAGACACAGCTCTTACACATGGGATTTGGTGTGGACGGTGAAAAATATTTGTGAAGACAAATTATTTATGTTGCTATTTTAAACACAGAGCTCGTTCGGTTCTAGTGATAAGAAAGTTGAAACCTGACTGATTTTGCAGAGGGTTTAAAGTTGTAAGCACAGAGCAGAAGATGGACTGGAGAGCTGGTTAACATGGATGGTCATTCTCACATGTCAGGGCACACACATGTTATGAGGAAGCTTCAAGACTTCATATCCTCAGGTTCTAATCTCGAGCTTCTGGACAGGTCTGGAACAGGGATCAGGAATCTCCACCTTTGATAAATAAGCCCTCCCACAAATGATTGTGCTTTCCAGCCCATCAGTGACCATTCTTCTGACCTGCTGTGACATGGAGCTAACATTCCTAGTAACAATAGACCATCCTTATAGGGCTCCTGAAGCAGACACAATCAGTATCTCCTCCTAAGAATGCCAACTTCTTCAACTTAGTCCAACTTTTGGTTTTAGTTTGTCTACTAGGTATTTGTTGAGATAGAAAGTTCTTCGCTTTTCTTTCTCTTGTATAAGAGCACAACAAGTATCTGAAGTCCTAGCCCAACTTTGTTGCAGGTATTCTCCAAATTTCTGGGTTTCTGACATCTAAACAATAGACCCACTGTAAGGAAAGCTCTATCCTTGACAGCAGGCTTTGTTTACCCATTTACTCTTTTAACAAGGTGTCTTGCCCTTAGAAAGACCTGGCTTCAGGCTTGCTGATGACAAGAAACTGTACATTGGTTTCATGAATACTAACATGTTGCTCTAATATAGTCAAATATCCAATCTGGCTCTCATAACTCCTGGTGATATGAGCATGTGTAGAGGTAATCCCTTCATTTACAAAATATGAGTGATTAGAACAGCAGGCACATGAGTTCAAGTACACAGACTTTCTTTCAGAATAAAAGATCACCTTAGTTATTAAGACTGTATGCCTCACACCCCTGAATTTCAAAAAGAGCAATAAAATCACCAGTGATTGAAAATGCTCTAAGTGTAAGGAAGTTTTAGTTTGTCTTGAAATTATATTTCTACATAAAAATGAAATTATCTTAGTACAATTTGATTTCATAATACTGAAATTGGAAATGATTTTCCCCTTGGGTTAGAATATTAAGCTTAAAATGTGCTATAGCTATTTTTCATGCAAAAGATTGAGGCACTAGAATGTACCTTTACAAGTAAGATGATGAATGATGTTAAGTTACCATTGTGAAATGCACAGAGCTCAGACTTTGTAGAATTGCTTAGAGTTAAACTCATGTTTTATTGTTCTATTAACCTTCCATTTAGGGATCTTAAGTATGATCCAGCGAGGGCTGATTCCCCCAACAGCAAGGATCACCTTGCAGAATCCACCCATTAAACCCCAAGCAATTCCTCTGCATAGTTTTGATGAGCCACGCAAGATTCCAACAGAAGGTAAGGCACCATGCCTGTGTGCTTAGCTGGGGTTCTGCACGAATGGTCTCCCCCTAGCAAATGTAGACTCTGCCAGTGGACAACTTTAATCCTCAGTAGTAGACAAGATGAGAGTTTAAGCATCTTGATGTTATCTGTGTAAATAAAACAGCTGAGAATAGCCACAGAGAGTCTCTACACAGTGTATTAGAGTTGAGAGTCTGTGTATGGTGTGTTAGAGAGTTGAGAGCCTGGGTATGGTGTGTTAGAGAATTGAGAGTCTGTGCACAGTGTGTTGGAGAGTTGAGAGTCTTGTATGGTGTGTTAGAGAGTTGGGAGATTGTGCACTTCTTGTATCATTAAGCTATATAGTCTATATGTGGCCTCTGTTATGGTGAGGTATGATCATTCTACTCCTGGTTTCTTCATAGCTTTTATCATGAAAGACTTTTTTCTGTGTGTATTGAAATAACTACAGGATTTTTATCTGATTCTGCTTATATTTTGTATTACATTTAACTGAAATATATGTTGAGCCATCTTTGAATTCCTGGCATGAATCAGTCTTGATCATGGTAAGTGTTCTTTTTAATGTGTTGTTGGATTCAGTTGGAGCTCATTGGGATAATTACCCATTTGCTGCTAAGTAATGTTCCATGTTAGCATGGTATAGCTGCTAAGCCATGCACCTGTTGAAGGACAGGAGTAGTTTGGAATTTTCAGCAGTTATAGGACAGCTCCTGTAAACATTAGTGTGCAGGTTTTGTATGGAACAAGTGCTCTCCACTCTTTGAAGGAGTGCTCAGGCCTGTGATTGCACACGTGCTCTCCTCTTTTTGGGTGAGTGCCTGGGCATGTGATCACTGTGTCCCGTAAGGCACCTTCATGTCTGCTTCATCCACCCACATTTAGATTCATACCAGGAAGTGGTAAAGATTTTTGGTTCAACCATCAAAAATAGTTTCTAGAAGCAAAAAGAAAATGAATGTCTTTTATTTCTGCTGGTATTTCTTTCTCATCTTCTAGGCATTCTTTTTTGATCATTTTCTTCCTGTTTAGCTGTCCTTTTAGAGTCTGTATATGAGTGATATAGTATTCTGATTTTATTTTATCTGGGAATGTGTTCAGTTCCCATCTTTTTCCCCAAAAGAAAAAAATGATTACTTTTTATGTGCATTGGTATTTTGATTCTCTCTCTCTCTCTCTCTCTCTCTCTCTCTCTCTCTCATGTGTGTGTGTGTGTGTGTGTGTGTGTGTGTGAGTGTGTCCCTGGATCTGGAGTTACAGACTTGTGGATGAGCTATCATGTGGGTGCTGGAAATTGAACTTGGGTCCTCTGAAAGAGCAGCCAGTGCTCCCAACCACTGTGCTGTCTCTCTTGCCCCTAAAAGAAATTTTCATTGAGCATATGATTCTGGTTGACATGTCTTCATCTTAGCATGAGAGAAAGAAGTCATGCCAGGTCTTTTTTCAGCTTCTGATTAGAAAACCAAGGACAGTGAAATCTCTCTCCAGTAGGTAAAATGTTAGTTTTCTCTACCTTCTCTCAATATTTTATTCTCTGTTTCTAGTTTTCAGTTTTTATCGTGATGTGTGTTGCCTTGGAATTCTTTGGCTTTTCCCCATTTTGGCTTAGCTTCTTAAAGCTGTGGCCTTTTATTTACCAGGTGTTGAATGCTTCCAGCCGTTATTTCTCTTTACAGCTTCCCTCTGTATCCTTTCTCCCTCTGGTACTACAATGGCACAGATACAGGTCCTTAGGCTCTGTTCACTTCTGCCTTGTGTCTGTTACTCAGATTTGGTGATTTCTGCTTTATATCTTCCAAGTCATTGATCCCTTTGTCTCCTTCACTTTAATTTTGAGTTATCCTCTGATTTTGAACTTAGGTTATTGCATTTTAATTTTTTTCTTTTTGTTTCTTTTCATACATTTTAATTCTTTGTAGAGTTTTTTTGTTTTAAGTGTTTATAATTGCTTAAGGGGCATTTTTATGACTGCTTCATCATATATGATTGTTTTAATGTTCATGAATGACTTTTTGTTCATGTGTGATGCTGACCTCATAATGTCTTTCTTTAACAGATGCATAAATGGGCTATGTTATGTTTTGACACATATATGTATTGCATAATGTTTAAACAAGTTGAACACATTCATCTCCTCAAACACCTATCATTTCTATATGGAGGAACTCTAGAAGCCTTTCTTCTAGCCTTTTGGCATACATGGAGCACTACTATCTACTGTCACTATGCTGTTTAAATAGTATACCAAAACTTCTTGCTCTTTTCTAATTTTGTGCTGGCTAGAATCATTTGGGAAAAGGGACTCTAAATTGAAGGAATGACTTCATAAGATTTACCACAAGTTCGGGGCATTTAGTGATTGATAGGAGGATCTAGCCATTTTAGGTAGTGCCCCCACCCCAGGCAGGTAGACCTGGGATGTATTAAAAAGTCAGACGGAGCAAGCCTGGGGGCAAACTAGTAAGCAGCACTCCTCCATGGCCTCTGCATCATTTCCTGTCTCCAGGTTCCTGCTCTGAGTTCCTGCTCTGACCTCCCTGAATAGTGGACTACAATCTGTGAGCCAGAATAAACCCTTTCATCCCCAAGTTGCTTTTGGTCAGGCTGTTTATTCATAGCAATAGAAATCAAAGATACTGTGATTCAATACCACTGAGCAAGATCCCCCCACCTCTCCCTCCCTCTCACTCTCCAAGCCTTTGTTAGCTACCACTCTGCTCGACTTCTATGAAATTAACCTATCTAGATTTCACATATGTGGCAGTCATCATGTGGTAGTTCTATTTTTAAATCTTGTGGAACTTGCATTTTCCATAATTTATGTTCCCATTGGTAGGACACCATTTTGTCTCAGTCCACCAATGAGTTGCTTACAAGGCTGCAGTGAGTTTCAATTCTTCCAGTGGACACACCCCCACCTAGAAAAAAGAAAGCTCCTATCAAAGTCTTCGCCTCAGGCTGCATTAGACAGCACACATCTTCCATGTCCTTATTGGTAAATGTTCTGCCTGCAACCAGTCAGGGCCTGACCAGCTAACCTCAAGCTTGCTCCACCCCTACTCCCTTCTGTAACTCTTCGGCTGCATTCTCTCCTCATTCTGAGTGCAGCCAGCAGAGTTAATAATAGCCTGCTCAACACCTGCTTAGTTTCTACTACCATGGAAAGTGCCTACTTGCATAGTATGCAGGGGTGTGTTTATAAAATACCCAAGGATGTTTTATTGACATCCTTGCCAGAACTTTCTGGGTTTAGTCTTCTAAGTGATAACTATTTACTTGGGGGCGAGAGGATCTCAGTGCTTTGTCTAATTGACCCTCCAGCATGTTCGCTTTCATCCTCATGGCCACCGTGTCTTGGCTGTAAGACCCCTCCTGCAAACCTGGGCCTTACATACATATTCTAGGTAGGAAAAGGGTAGAAATGGTGGTGTAGGCATATTTTCTCTTAAATTTATCAGGTTACATCAGCATTAGCCACAAGGAAGATGGGGAAATATCCAAGGATATGGTCAGTGTTTTAATTTAGACTTTCTTAGACTACGTACTTAGCATGATGAGTTGTGCTCAGGCCAGTTCATTTCATTAATAAGCATTCTGTCCTTTTTTGCTACCTAAATAGAGTTAATAATTGAGATATATTTAAAACTGACTTGCAAAATTAAACTTTTAAATTGCATATCCTTTATTTCTTGCTAAATCTGACAACTTTAGGAACTGGGTGTATTCTTGATCTTAAAGAAAAACAGGTTTTTAAAATTACCAGGAAGAAAGGAGAGAACTATTTGTATACAAATATCAGTAACTACCACAGAAGTGTACAGATTTGTCAGGAAAGTTACCAAGGGGTTGGAGACATGGCTCAGCAGTTAAGAGCACCTGCAAAGGACTCAGTTTCAGTTTCCAGCATGCATGTGGCAACTCACAACTGTCTGTAACTTTAGTTCCAAGGGATCCAATGCCCCCTTCTGGACTCTGTGGCCACCAGGCATGCATTTTTACACATGAAATTATTTATTTTTTACTTTATAAATGAATAGTTTTTCTCTTTCTGAAATTGCCAGTGTTTTTCCTAGAAATGCTTGTCTTCTAAATTTTCCAGAAAGGAAATTGAGTTTCAAATCAGGCAATCCTAGGGATTGTCTTGTTAGATGCAGACACATTGCTCGAATGTGTGTGTTCCATAAAATCCAAGACCGGTGAGTGAAGGGCAGCAAAATTACAGCCTCTGAGCAGGTCCCTGAGAACCTTAGATCCCATTAGCTGTGGTTCATCCATGCAAAATGTATACACCTTTGAGTTTTACCAAAAATTTTTAAAAGTCAAAAATTTGTCAACTGCTATGTTGTCTAAGCACAGGAATTTAGCCACAAAGCTCACTTGTCTCTAGGAGCCTGAAATTTAAACAAAAATTGTACTGAGTCTGCAGACATTAGAAAGAATCAGTTTTACCAGTGAATGTATGCATTCAAGACACCCCAGGATGGGGGAGAGATGGACAGCAGAGTCCAAAGTGAGCAACATAGCAGAGGAGCACAAAGGTCAAAGCAAGAGCTTTTAGGCCTCTAATGGGGTCTGCAGCCACTGATGCACTGGGCAGCACAATGGACAACAGTCACAGAGAGACTTGCTAGAAACCAGGGGAATCAGAGAGTGGGCATGACTGGGCTCGATGCAGCAAATTCCCTGAGTGGCAAGCTTTGATGCTCTGAAATTCTTGCTACTTCTAAAAAGATGCACGAAAGGATTTCTTGTAGCCCAACTTGAGGCTGAGCTCATTGAGTCCTCCAAGTGAGACTAAGTTGTGCACTGCTATCATTTATTAAGTTTTGATCAATGTCAATCAATTCTTTCAAGACTTCTGTTACAGTACAGACAGAAAAGAGCGAGGCTGAGTTGAAGGACTTGGGATAGAAGAAGACTCCTTTGTATTCAACTAACCATTTAAATAAATCCTTTTCTTCCTTGGCAAGGGTAATGATAGGGTTTTTCTCCCCTAGAATGCCAGGCTTGGGCTATTTGCAGAGAGTAGTTGAGTTTGCAGTCAGTTGGCAGGAAAGATGTGACTGAGAGAGTTGTTGCCTACAGATTAACTTCAAAAATAATCTTTATGGTGTTACTCACCATATCAGTTCCCCCAAGTCATTTAAATTTTTGGTCATCTTTCTAATATCTACCTAACAAAATAGTCTATCATATGCAACTATATTAATTATCTTGTACATAAACTTGGGAATCTGGCTACTTAAAGGAGTCTTCATTTTAAGAGACAAATTTTCCTCTCTAATCCTTGTGCTTTTCAAGTCTAATTTCACACAGGCATTCTGCATGAGGTAGGCTGACCATGGGTTCTAAGGAAAAAGTTACACTATTGTAGCAGTCACAGAGGTGTCATAGTTTGGGTACAGGAAATTCAGGGAGTAAGCAAACAGTGGGTGACAGAGCCACATGACTTTTGAGCCAAACCTCATAGCATCTACCAAATGGCTCAGCCTCTCTTTCTGGAAGAAATAACTTTGCCCTGCCTCCATCCACAGCCCCCTTTGCTCCAGCTCAGAGGACACACCATGTTCTGAAAGAAGTGGAGGAGCCTCACAAGAAACAAAAGACAAAGGTACTCATGCCAACACAGAGAGCAAGCAAGTTCCACCCTCGAGTAAGTGTCATTTCGGCAGCTTCCAAGGGGCATCTCATCTTACTGTTGTTCTCTGGGGTGCTATGGGTCAAACGCAGGGCCTCCCACATGCTAGGAAAGAGCTCACTGAACTTACACAGGCAGCTCCAGCTTTTAAAGAGGAAGATGAATGCACAAGTCAACTCCATGACACTGTGGGTGGGGTCTAAGATAGCCAGAGCCATTGCATTATTGTGAGATTTGCAAGTAAGTGATCAGCCTGTGCTAGCAGTTGGTCAGAGGCCAGGAGTCTGCTTGCCTTACATACATCTGTAGTCTATAAGCAGTACTATCGAGGGGTTTTTACCATATCTCATTTGTCTTTTTGCATAAGGAAAGACAAGCCCAAGTTTGACAGAAAACCATGCTGGGGAAGAGGAGGGAGTCCCTTTAACTAATGTTAAAGGAACTTGAATAAATAAATAATAAATTTATATATAATAAATGAATGTATGATAAATTAATGAACAAGTTTAATAAATAAATTGTTCTTTAACATTAGCCCCTCACCATAAAGTGTAATTCACCCTCCTGAAGATGTCCCCAGTTTAAAGGGCCTGGGTTTTTTAATAGGTTACTTTTTCATTTTAAGGACCACTGACAGATTTAGGGTAATTGAAACTTTTCTCCACAGAAAAGAGACATCTGGCAGTCCTTTTTCTGGTATGCCTTGTTTAGTCATGTTTGTAGCTGTCCTCATGAATAAAAGAAAGAGGAGTTAGTGAGCAGCTCCAGAGAAATTAGCCCCACTGCTCTCCTGGACCTCCTCTTTAAATGCCCAAACACCCTCCAGAGGTATTGGGTGCATTTTCAACACTGGTGGGTCATTTCCTCTTAAGAGACTGCCAGGCTGCTTATGGAACAGCATGTCATGTGACATCCCAGTTGCCATGGCAAATATTTGCGTTTCATGAAAAATGTGAGTTAAAAAAATGAAAGAAAGAAAATCAATGCAAATGGCCAACTCCCAAGACAGACAGGCCTTCAGGCGGGTGCTTGGCCGGCACCATTATTGTTTCAAATTCAGCTGTTTAACAGGCTGTGAGGAGGCCATGGGCTGATGTGCATAATGCGATGGGCCCAGGCACCTGTTTCGATTCTTACTCCAAGTGAGTTCTCCGCTCCCTCTGTTTTATAGAGATCGGGTCTACAGGTAATACACATGTCACAGTGAGGTTTTAGCCAGTAAGCAGTTTACCTTTAAAAAAAAAAGAATGATAATGTGTTTTCAAAATGCTGATTAGCCCTGGCATTATTTTCCCCTGTTGATTTGCAAAGGGTTCCCCTACTTTTAAAAGCAGTGCTATTTAAAGGCTGTGACCTCAGATTGGTACATTTCTGACTTGACTCTGTAATAGTGGCAGAGGTAAACTGGGTGTGGACATTAACGGTGAAGAGAAAGACACAAGGTGCTGGGCTCCATACTGGAGTCTTTGCAGATGCTCTACTAAGGCTCCAGCCCCATGCTTGACACCACAGAAAACTCTTTCTTACAAATACCCTCCAGAGTGGCTGCATGTGTATTTACTTTCTCAAACCCTTTCCTGAAAGCATGGGGCTTGGCATGCACAGTATGGGTGCCTGGGAGAGAGGGAGGTCCTTCTAATTACTCGCCACTGCCTGTGTGGGTAGGGACAGGCCGGCCCAGCAGGGGGAAGGGAAGAAGGGGGCGGTGGGTGGACAGGACTAAGCCGTCTATTTGTTTTGTAATATTGCCCATGAGAGCCATTTTCATTTAAACTGTGTCTCATTCTTCATTGTAGGGGAAAGGCAAAAGGTCAAGAGGACTCCTCAGTAGGAAGGTCTGTAATTTGTGTGACTAGTTGGAATTTGGAATCTGTCACCTGATGTCCTCCCTTCCTTTTGCTTCGGGGCAAAAGTATGGGAGGCCACTTGACAGCTCAAATTGGCAACAAAAGTTCTTTTGCACTTTCTTTATAAAAGAAATTAGATCGTGGTTCACTTAAAGGGAAAAACATTTCTTTGATCTCTGTCAGGACTGAATCATGCCACAGTCTTCAGTCCAGACAAATGATTTCCCATCCTCAAAATGTGACTGACTCACGTGCGTCTTTAGCTTCAAAGATTTTCATCATTTGAAAGTGTAGCTACAAAGAAGCAAGATGTTAAGAATGAATGTATTAGTTTCTTGGTATTTGCTCACATGTGCACATGTGTACACTTGTACTTGCATACTACATTTGTAAAGTAGACGGAGGAAAAAGGATTTAGAGTTAAGCTGTTCATAACAACCAAGGCAACAGCAACAACAACAAAAAGGAAACTTGAAGTCCCCACAGCATGGCAGGTACATTCTAGTAAGGCCTGTTCCACCAGGTCATGCATTGGGGGTAAAACCTTTGCACTTGAAATATATGAGACTGTGCAGGGCATTGAGGAGTGCCTCCTCTCCAGAAGAGAGCCCCTTCCACTTCTTCCCAGCAGTGGAGTTTACATCAGTGACTGCGGACAGTCCTTCCGAACCTGCATGCGTTGCTCCCAGATAACTGGTCAGTGCAATTAGATCTTCCTTCTCATTCTCATCACTTCTCACTGTGTAGAGACCATGAGCCTTACTCTGTACCTCAAAAAGAGAACGTTCTTAAAGAACCCCAAGGCTTTATTTGCCTGGCACACTTAGGAACTTCTAATATGACTTCAACATGATCTGTGTATGGGGCATGATACACTTCCCACGTTCACTGAATCCTCATGATGATAGAGGAACCTCTGTACTGTCACTGCAAAAGGGCAGTGTGAGGGTTATATACCAGGTGAGGAGCTCTTTCCTAGAAGAGTCCTCCAAACACTACTCCTAGTATAGCTGCTTGCTAGCCTGTACTGGGTGCCTACTCTGCACTGGGATTTGTTCCTAACATCTTCAGTGGGCTGCTTCCCTTGTTTTCACATCTCTAGGTGGTAGGTGCTAGTATTATTCCCATATGACTAGGAGGGATCAGACAGAGAGAGGTGAGTCATCCAAGGTAAACGATAGAGCTGGTGCAGGAAAGTGGATTGTGTGACTCCCAAGCCCCCAAAGCATTAGAAACCTACAAATCTCCACCGTTCACAAGAGAATCCTTCTAAAATACATTGCATGTCTCCTGTCCAGTGTATTTAATGCTTTCCCTTTCCAGTGCCATGTGCTTAGATGATAAGTTTGTGTCTTTGCTTCGTTCCCTACCAGACAGCAGTTGTCACCTCTGCTGTCATGTCTGTTTTTATCAGTTTCAATAGAGATAGCCTTTTCTGCCTTCTAGATCAATTAAATAGTCAATAATTAGTGGGTGTGGTGAGGCATGTCTGTAATCCCAGTGTTAGGAAAGCTGGATGAGGATTGTTTCTTAATCATTTTTATAGTGTTAGTTTCTTTAGTATCTTTCAAGTATATTCTTGTGATTGCCTCCATGGAAAACTTAATATTTTATGGATGAGTCAACTGTACCATTTTAATTAGACAACATGTGCAGCATTGAACCTGCCACTGCCCTCATCTGTTCTCGTGTGTGTGTGTGTGTGTGTGTGTGTGTGTGTGTGTGTGTGTGTGTGTGTGTGAAGTCAGTCAAGGTCTGTCCCTCTGCACCTCTGTCTTTCTGTCTCTCTGCCTCAGTGTGTATGTGTCTGCTTCTCTGTGTCTGTATCTTTGTCTTCCTGTCTCTCTGTCTCTCTCTCATAACACCTTATTTAAGGACGAAGGGGGGAAATTCCCAAAAAGGAGACTGTGGAATCCTTTAGAAGCTGTTTTAATTTTCCCTAATAAATTGCCCCTCCCCCCTAAGCATTTTTGCCTTAAACCTTCAAAATAAATCTAATTATATGGTTTTATTTGAAAAGAAGGTTTTTTCATGTAAAAAGTAACTGAGAAAAGAAACTATTACTTTTATAATGTTTGTCAACATTGCCTACTACATGTATATTTGTTACATGTAAATGGCTTTATTTATACACATCAGAAAAGAGGTTAACTTATCAGCAATCCACAAAGTAATATTTTTCCTTTATGTATTTTACTTAATATACTTTTTAATGATTACTCAGGAAAAAATAAAGTTCAGAAAGGAGAAAAATGTCAAGTATGGGAGAATCTTCTGATACTATCATAACCCTTTGGAAGTATTTAAGCCTTGTCATGTTCTGTAGTCCCATCATACTGTGTCTTTAATTTTTATTTTAATACTGTATCACAAGCTTGTACAATGCCGTTAAAAGCTCACTACATAGTATTCTTCAATTAAAGATGTCCCATAATTTTAATAGCCATTATGTTGTTTAACATTAAATCATAAATATCAGACATCTTACCTGATCACAGAACAACTTTGTATTGTAAATCAGTCCAAGTAGCTCTGAAGTTAAAATTAAATGTACATATACTCACTCAGTAAATCCTCACTGCCTTTTTAATGTGCATCAAGCAGGGGACCACAGTGGCAGCCAAACAATAGTGAATGAGACGAACTTCTTGTCCTCTCAAGACTTCTATTTTACTGAGGAAGGCAGATGATAGACATCTACTGTAATGTTCTAGAATGATCCATACTTAGAGAAAAATAAACAGACTACTCACATAGCTGTTGAGACTGTGCCCAAGTAGAGCTCTGTGAGAATCCTGTAAATAGTCTTTAGTGGTCTGTGACCAACAGACTTCCTCTACATACACCTCTTGAGGAGAACAGGAATGCCAAGCTTCACTTCTGTGGCAATGGCGACCCTTCACAAGACCAGCTCTTTCTCCTGTACCTATGGAGAAAATAATGTGTCTTTGCTTGGGGACCTGGGAGCCAAGCTGCTTTTGATCCCCAGCTTGTCATGCTTCCTGTGCAAATCCCCAGCAGGCTCAGCTCATCCATCATAATTGTCCCAAGTGGTCCTTAACTGTGCCACATTTTCTCAGCAAGCATTTGAAGGCTATGAGAAAAGGTGAAATCAATGCTGTAGTGAAGTCAAATGTGCCTCCAGAAAAGGGAATTTCACATTTGACTGAGAACAGACCCCGACTATTTAAAGTGCCTCTCTGGTCCTGCTGTTTGATCTTTCATATGGATTAGACGAACTCGGTGTTGTTGTTTCATGAGAACTCACCTTTTCTCTCTCTTTTTTTAAAATTATTTTTTTATTTAGGTTAGAAACAATCTTGTTTCACATGTCAGCAGCTCCCTCTCCTTCCCCATCACCCCCACCCTCCTTACCAGGTCTCCCAGTCCCCCACCCAATCTCCACTCCAATCCCCAAGGAGGGTGAGGCCCTCCATGGTGGATTTCCAGTAACTGTCAGTTCATCCAGGGCAGGGCCTAGGCCCTCCCCCAAGAGTCTTGGCTGAGAGCCTCTCATATTGTGGCATGGGCACTCAAAGTCTATTTGTATGCCAGGGATAAATACTACCCAAGGCTCCATAGATTACCTAGGCCTCCTCACTGACACCCACATTCAAGGGTCTGGGTCAGTCCCATGCTTTCCACACAGCCATTAATCTGTAGTCCAAGAGCTCCCCTTGTTCAGGTCAACTGTTTCTGTGGGTTAAACCAGCCCACTCTTAACTCCTTTGCCTATCAGTTCTCTCTTTCTGACACTGGATTCCAGGAGTTCAGTTCAGTGTTTGTCTGTGGGTATCTGCCTCTGCTTTCATCTGTCGCTGGATGAAGGTTCTGTTTCTCTTTAGAATGGTTTCAGAGTTGAGGAAGACCTAGTGCATGTGGCATCTTTCATATGAATGGCTGAAATTATTCTAAAAAACTGCTGCTGATACAAGTGACCCTGACACTCAGGTCCTTTCCCTTATGTGTCTCTGCCCTTTCTTCCTTTTATACCCTTTGTGTGGGTTGTGCACTCCAACAGTCCAGTCTTAGGTAGCTTCCGTGGATTGCAGCCTAAAGACTGTCTTGCTTACTCACACACCTCAGAATTCTAGAACATTACTTTTTTTGGTTTTCTCAATCCTGTACAACAGATAGTGTGGGTAATTTGTCATCCATTTTAGTTAGGAAGTTGCAACAAATAATTTTATGTATAAAAACTGGAGAAGAAAAAAAATCTCCTTTTCATGGTCAGAAAGTAACAGCCATGAAGTGGTTGTATTGGTTTCACAGTTTTACTAGCTCCAGGAGTTTGTTTAAAAAGATACTAGGTTGCTGGGCATTGGTGGCTCACACCTTTAATTCCAGCACTCGGGAGGCAGAGGCAGGCGGATCTTTGTGAGTTCGAGGCCAGCCTGATCTACAGAGTAAGTTCCAGGCCAGGCTCCAAAGCAATACAGAGAAACCCTGTCTCAAAAAAACAAATACAAAACAAAAAAAATACTAGGTTGAAGATGTGTCTCAGGAGTCATAGTGCTTGTTTGGCGTGCACAGGTCCCTGGCACTGCATAACACCAAGCATGGTGACAAATGCCTGCAAGCTCAGCTCTCAATAGGTGATGAGAGCAGGACCAGAAGTTCAAGGCTGCCTTCAGCTATATAGCAAGTTTGAAGCCACTGTCCCAAACAAACAAACAAAAATCAGAAAAAATTTAAAAGCCAATACATCTAGAGGGGTGACATGTTATGTCAGAGAGGACATATGGTGGCAAATTAGAATTATTAACCAAGTTTCTGTTAAGTGGTTTCTTAATAGAAACTCAGGTCTTACAGAGGAAGTGACTACCAGAGTCCACAGAGGAAGGCAGTGTAGGTCAGATTCCAGGTCATCTGGCTCCAGAGTCACCATTTCCCCACCATACCATGTAATGTCCCCTTTTGTATTCATGGGGGTTAATTTAACAAATTGCTCTCCAGCCCAGCAAATAAGAAATATCAGGTCAAGAGAA